CCCCCCCCCCCTGCCCCTCAGGGTGACGTTGTAATTCGTAGTGACATTGGGCAGTCAGGAAGCGAGGTCGATTTAAAGAAAATACGAACCAAGCCAAGAGGGTCGCCCACCTGAGGTAAACCGTGCTGCCACCCAGTAGAGAGCTGGCCAGGTCCGGTTGCTCGCGTTGCAAAGCCGACAGACGCACCAGGGCATCACACTCTAGGCTTCCGTGAGAGCATCCACCACCATCACCACCAACCTCAACTGTTTCGGCCGCGGTGATGCACCGAGAGCACAGGACCGATCTCAGGCACTTGGCGCAGCTGCGAGGGTGAGGCGGAGACGTCCCTCTCTGTGGTGCCGCGTCGGGCATGAGTCTGGGTGAGAGGTGGGATGGCTGCAGACAGCGCCTGCGGTTTGGTTCGGTGTCCAGTGCGGCGGCATCGTTGACGGCCATCGGAGGCGACGGAAGGAAGCCGAGGTTGAGGGAGGGGTCGAGGGAGGGCGAGTCAATGTCAATACATGCACATATTTGAGAGGGAAACACACACACAAACACACACAGAGAGAGAGAGAGAGAGAGAGAGAGAGAGAGAGAGAGAGAGAGAGAGAGACAGACAGAGACAGACAGAGAGAGAGAGAGACAGACAGAGAGACAGACAGAGACAGAGACAGAGAGAGAGAGAGACAGAGAGAGGGAGAGAGAGAGAGAGAGAGAGAGAGAGAGAGAGACAGACAGACAGAGAGAGAGAGAGACAGAGACAGACAGAGAGACAGACAGAGACAGAGACAGAGAGACAGAGAGAGACACAGAGAGAGAGAGAGAGAGAGAGAGAGAGAGACAGACAGACAGACAGACAGACAGACAGACAGACAGACAGACAGAGACAGAGACAGAGACAGAGAGGGAGACAGACAGACAGAGAGGCGGCAAATATTGGCGGAAACATTGAACATGTATTTGGAGTCGGAAGGTCAACGCCCATGGCAACACCCGGCAGATTCTTCGTGCAGGACAAAGGACACAGGGCCGCCAGGCCGGGCGTACCGACACACGAAACGAAAGGGATTTCGTGCAGCAGCGCGTCCCCGAGAATGACGCGTTTGTGTACACACCCGACCAATCACCGCTACGACACAAGTACGACAGAGAGAGTCGGGCTGGTGCCCTTGCCTCAAACCACAGCAGTACGTGGGGAGGAAAAGGAGGAGGAGGAGGAAACAAAACTGTAACTTTAAACAGGAAGCACCGAGTCTATTCTCTCCGGCATCGTCACCCGCGTGTTTCATACGTTGCTGCGAGGTCACACACTGCTGGTCACAAATCAAACATGGGCAACAGGAACAAACGCCGCGCCTGAAGAAACATGAACATCGTCCGTACTGGTAAACATGAACACTGCTGCGGTGCACCATTAATCAACGCTTGTTGTGCCGTTTACTGCTGTGACGGGGGTGAGCAGGGTCATTGCACGCCAAAAAGACCAGGTCGCCCTCACGGGGGCGCCACAAAAGTGGATACAAGCAGTTGGTGAATAGCCAACCTGCAGTTGCGTCCCTCGTGCTCGTCCTTCAACGCCCACACCATGGGCCGCGCTCCCTGGAGCACAGCTGTCCCGGCCCCGATCAGCCCTCTTCCGGGCCTTGACGCCGCGAAGCACCCGTTCCCCGCGACACCGGCTGCACGAACCTCGACTGTCGACGCCAATGACATCGTATCGGGGAACAGGCGCTCTCCTCTTGTCTCGCTGCCTCGCGTTGCCCACTTATGTATCTCCGTCGCTGCCGTTGCGGACTCTCCCGTGGACCGTGGACGGTCGACCAGCACAAAAATGCGGCCTAATCAGAAGGGGATCTCCGAAGAGGGTCTCCGTTTTTCTTTCCTCGTCACTCGGAGATCTCATCCAAAAGTTTTTTTTGTTCTCTCACGACTTTTCTACGTCAGGCTTGTCCTCCTTCCGCGCCACACCCCCCCAAACGACACTGCATACGATCACCCATACACCTCGCTACAAGTCATGGCTGATACTGGAGCGGGAATCGCGTCTGCCCATGCGGATGAGTCGGTGAGAGAGGAAGGAAAGGGAACGAAGAATGAAGCGTTAGAAATTAGAAAATGGACCAAGGACACGTCACCACCCGCATGCGGCGCGCACATTGACGCTAAATCTTGCATCTTGTGCGCGCCCCCTCTGTGCCCTCTTCGAGCGACCAGCTCTCGGCCCCGCGTCTATGCACTGCTCATGTTGGTGCCGGGCTGGGCGGAAGCGTGTGGGATCATGGCTGGGCGGGGGGAGGGTTTCGCGTGTGCACGCCTCATTTGTTCTTTGTACGGGTGCTGTATGCTCGAACGAATAGCCACCGCGTCACCGCGGGTAAGGGGTACAGATCAGCAGAGCAACCGCATCGCAACTTGCGTGGTGATGGGTGTGGAGAGGGCGTTTCTGCTGCGTGCGGCTCCCGTTGGTGTAACTATTCCCAGACAGCAGGTTGTGGTTTGTCGTCGTTCTTGCTACATGTATTTTTGTGTTTTATTTCGAAATCAATCTCGGGGGCTCGTCAGATTAACCTTGTAGTCTACTGGACAAAGATTGCGCGTGCGTCTCTCAGTACTGCACGCCTGATGAAAAAATAAAATAAGCGGCTCAACACAAATAATGGCAGTTGGCTAGCCCACCGGCGACCACCTTTGTCGGCGTACAGCAGTAAAATAGACCAGTAGCTATTCAGGAAAGCTGGTTTCACGGAATTTCGTTGACTATAGCGCGAGAACTGCTCGGCGCAGGCTCCGAGACTGCCGAAAAAATGTGATCCATGCCCCTGCTGCGGTCGATCCTCCTGTGGTGTGCACGCGCGCCAAGCTTAACACGAGAACGCGCCCTATACCTAACCGATCGACACGAAACTTGACACAATTACAAACAATAACACGAGGAGTACACATATCAAGTATTGTGTCCAGAAGTGCTTGCGAGACAGAGCGAGGTACTTATCGCTTGGAAAAAGAGGTATTGCGCGGATCAATCGTGCTTATCTTTGGACGCGCTACTCGTGGTATGAGACACAGGATGGACTTGCTGTGAGGCTTGCGGTTCTACTGCAATTTGAACTTTGGTGCAACACGCAGTACAGGTGAAGTAATTGCAAATGGCGTGCGTCCATATTTGAACTGAAAACGGTTACTTGATCTCCTACAGTGTCCTGTAGTGTTGCGCCGCCATACACACACCAAGAAAGACAAAGTCACGTAATAAAAATACGGCGCACACGCACGCAGCAGCAGCTGCGGCTGTCAGGATGCCCCGTTGGGGCCCGCACGGGCATGTATCCCTTTTATACTCCGGTGAAATCCGACTGGTTAATGGAGTTGTGTCGTCGTGCGTCTTTCGAAAACAAGTAAAGAACGAAACAGACTGAAACACAACATATTCGAAGTACTGCTACGTGAGTTCGCGTGTTTCCATTCAGACTCCCCCCCCCCGCCCCCCC